TAATTTTTAAATGAAATTTGAAGGTAGTCATTTTCATCTCCATTTTACTGGAAAAAAACCCTGAGGATGAGATCTAATGTTGAGTTTTTTTGTGGATTCAATTTTCTTCTTTTTATTTTATTTGACACAAGGAAGAGTTCACAATATCTCCAGATGGGAGAGAATCTAAAGAAATCCTGACTATCACATGTGATACATGCTAGTAGGTACAAAAGACAGTATCTTCTTGTCACTCATTTTCACATTGATTATATAGCCATGAAAATGACAATTAGATGTGACTGAAGACTAGCTAACTTGCTTCATTTCTGTTTCATTTGGTTGCTTTGTGAGTAGAAAGGCTGCTGCTTTAAAGTTCTTGCCCTTTATGAGATGGTTTAAATAGCATGTCATTGATAAAACAAGTAAAATTTGCCACATCTAATTTCATTTTTGCAGTGGCATTAATTATGGATGCCAACTTTATCTTTAATGAGAAAAAAGTCTTGCTTTGTCGAACTCTGCCTTTGAAACGTGCAAACCTCTGTTCATGTCCCAGCCCTTTCTCTTGAGATTGGGCCTATAGGTGGCAGCAACTGTTAGCTATTGAGCTTGGGTGACATGTGCCAAAAGTTCTCCAGAAATACTTTAAATAGTTTAAATATTCTTGGATACTTGAAAATGAAATTTTCTCTAGATAAGAAAGTGAAAGTTCGAACTTGAATCATGACTGTTGAAGGATTCATACACTAGAGTCAAACATTATATAGATTAAAAATGGTATAGGGGCTTGAACATTCTATATTTTACAAGTTTGCAATGTGATGACAGTTGCGTTCAGTCTTTAAGATTTGTGACTGCTGTGGTCAGATTGGTTATCCTTCACTCTCCATTATTTTGTGTAAAATGGGTTTTTGAATTTAGAGTAATTGAGAATTAATCAGTTCCTCTGAGCTTAACATTCAATCAAAGTTGAGATTTTGATTCAAGTACCATCTGTTTTACACAATGAATGTGTCATAGAAATGTTTAGTACAATTTAAGTTTTTGCAAATCAAACAATGCTTACTTGTATAAAGCAGTTTATACTTTGAGGGTAACTTGAAGGGAAAATTCTACTCCAGTTTTAATTATTTCATGGGAACTTTTTTGAGAGTTTGGAATTTTGTTAACCTGTTTTCATATATGAGGGACACCTATATTTAATAATGCTTTCCAGCAATCTGTTAGATTTCGAGAGAACTGAAACAATATGGACTTTAGCTGGCTCTCTGTAGGTGACTGCTCGACTTTACTTTGGCATGACTAATCTAATAACACCAACTATCTTCGTGGTTTATATTATTTGTGGATCAGTCCACTGAAAAGACAGTGAATTGTATCAGCCCCATTTCAGTCAACTGGACCCAGCCTTTGTGTTTCCTTATTCTGAAGATTACTTAAAATGCTGCTTCTCTATTCACTAGACCTTTATAAAGCTCCTAAAATACCATATGTGGTAGAAGAAAAGCTGCTTTTAATGTTGAAAAGCATTCATTCCTCAAAAACGAGCTTATTTGATTTAATTTCTTAAGAGAATTTTTATGTGCACTGTTTAGTTGGGCCACTTCTATTGTGTGAAGAAAATGTCATTTCCCTTATTACATTGACCCAATTTGAAAAAGAAAAAAATGGCATCACATTTGGAACTAAAGTTTTAGTGCAAGCCAACAGCAAGACTCACTGAATCAAAACAGATGGTAAAAAATAGTTTGGAATAGATGTATGTATCCTATAGATGCCTGTTTAAAAAAAATGTAGAAAAATGAGGTATGGCTTTTTCACTCTATAGCCTTGGTAATAATTTATAAATTTTGATTTTTTTTGAACTATATTTTGATGTTCATATAATATGGCTAAAATCAAAACTGAGTGTGAACAGCTGAACATTGTTTGTAGTGGGATTTATCGAAGATTAAACTCCAAGGGTTGGTTTCCTCCTTTGGGACTAGTCTGCAATTTACCTGTTAAGTGTTTGTTGGTGGTTTTTTTTTTTTTGAGTGTGTTGTGTGGATGGATGAGGGCATAGGACAGATCCATAGATATTGACCTACTAAAGCAAATATTATGTACAATCAAATCAGCTACAATCTGAATTACTAGGTAACAGATATTAGGACCTTAGAATGTGCTGAAAAACAATGTCACATAACTTTTAGGGGAATGCAGAGGAAAGAGCCTAATACAAGGCAAAGGTGAAGAAATAAAAGAAAGTGCTTCAAACAGATGGGCCTTTTCTACAGAGAACTTCCTTGTTGTCTTTCCACTTGAAATACACTATACTGTATTTAATCCTTTAATCCTTATCTTTAAAGATAAGGATTTGTCCCAGTGATTATTTTATTATTGCTCTAAACTTCTATAAAATGTAACAAGTCACACCTTACATTTTTAAAGGAGACTGCCTTTCTACTTTTTAAAATCCAAGTTGTATCATCATTAGGTCATACTTTGTCTATTTCCATGCACCAAACAATATTTAGCAGAATTAGTGCTTACTAAATGATTAAATTCCAGATGCATCCATTCCTTGGTAATAGCCCCTCATCTATCTGTGTACTTGGTCCTCATTATTACTTTCTTGTACTCAGTGCATCTTCTTGATACAGTTCTCCTTTGTCTTGAGTGGAGTGAACTGGAACCATGTGGCCCTAAAGGGAATGCCCTAAGGGGTTCCAGAAAAGAAATTTTTTTTTTTTTCAGACAATGCTGCGATTTTGGATGAAAAAATATAGAGTGCCTCCAAGATCAATCACCTCTCCCCAAAATAATTCCTTCTCTGTGATATCTTCTGAATTCCACATTTTAAAATGCCTCCCTTGTCCACCCAAATACACACACACACACACATACACACACACACAACTCACAAGGACTATCAAATTAAGCTGCTCACTATATCACATAAGACATCTCTTTTTTCCAAAGATTAATCATAAGACTTCAGCATGATAACTTACATGTGCTTTGTTAGAGAAAAATGGCCAATCTTTTCAGTCTCAACGTGATTGTATTTACTATAGAGCAAAATTGATAATCTCTTAAGATACAAGCTTTATGATGGCAGGATTCTTACCTATTTTGTTCTTTGCAGTTTGTAGTTTTGCCAACACCTTAACAGAGCTTGGTATATAATAGTTTCTTAATAAGTATATGTGTTGAATGAATGAATCACTAAGAAAATTAGTGGAACAAAATTAATGGTTTTTCTGTGTTACAATCTCTAACTTTTCTCCAGTTTAGAATTAAGCTCCAGTTTCATACACTCTTGTACTCTAACTTCTCATTTAGCACCTTAATTTACCAGAGACTTATTCTGTTCCTGTTATCTTGCCAGTGCTTTCATATCATGACTAGAATAACAGCCATTTTCTCTTCTCTTCAATACATAAAAACCCTACCTTTACCCCAAGAATGAATGCTTTCGAATTTTCCTCACTCTTGAGTGCTCTAAGGCATTGCAAGGCTTTGCTGTCCACTTGAACAGTTGATAATAGTCCTTTGATGTAGAGCTTTGAACAAGCGATAAGAAATAGTAATCTAACCATAGCTTATGCTGATAGTCAACAGGACCATCTCATTCATGCCACTAAAGATTATTTTCTACCTTGCTGTCCAAGTAACATAAAACTCTCAAAATTATGTAGAACCATAAACTATACCTTCTCGTTTTCACTTCTCTCTCCCTCTCCTACCTTCTAGTACCCTCTATTTTTCCTGACTCTTACCTGCATGATACGACATAGGATGTAAGCAAGAATGGCATTCTATGTCAACCCTCCTTTTCATGGACAGTATCGCCTGAAATGAAGTAGATTCAGAGTGTAAATATATGTACTTTTCTTTCTGATTAAACAGTTTCAAAAAAGAATCCACAACAGAAGTGTTATTTTTAAAAACTGTTGATCACAAATATTGGAGAACATTTTTTTTAACTGAGTTGGAAGGAGCTTTGACAAAAAGTCGCAGTTGATGGTATTAAGTTTTTGGTGCTGAGACAGGAGCTGTGCTACTACTCACTCGTCCCAGATTTGGGAGGTGACAGACCTAGTTTGCATTCTTAAGCTTTGAAGAATCTTGAGGTAAACTCTCAGAAGTGGGCTAACTAGCCACAGGAAAGTTATCTTTAAAAGACTTAACCATCCCACCTTCATCCTTCCTTCATTTGGTCTTTGCATTGCCCAAGAGGAAACCAGACAAAGGGCTCATTTAGAAACATTTTCACTCTGCTGAGAGTGGTTCTAACATTTTCTCAAAACTTCTTTCTAGACCAATGTGGTTTTCCTTCCAAGAAACTCACTCTTACTGTTCTGTTTCCTGGGATTCAGACATGAGCTATTGATCCCTTTCTGTGGGTTTTCTCTCTCTGTTTTATCTCCATGTTCAGCTTACTTTTCTTAATAAATCTAAGTTATCTCACTTTTTGAAACTTCTTGGTCCACATGGATCAAAAGTGAAGCCACAGGAAAAAGCAGCTCATGTCTCATTACTGTGGCAGAGGTTTGGACACTCCCAGTGGGCTCTCTGCTGCTCCTCCTCCTGCTGGCTATTGCAGCAGGTTCCTGGAGTCAGACAATGCATTATCATGCGGATTACACTGATTAGCTCTAAGTCAGTTAGGTAACAGGAACTCTTTTAACGGTGTCCTAGAATTCTGTCAGGTTGACTGTTCAAACACTGGTTTTTGGGATCCCCTCCAGCATTCCTTAATGTAATCCAGGCATGTCATTGCAGGTTCTATTTGAGAGGGGCTACTTACTTGTCACTTAGAATATTTTCAGTTTTAAGTCAAAACCTTCTCAGGAAAAAAAAAAGTGAAAGATATGAGAGCCCATGTAGGAGAGGCAGAGAAGAACAAAATGCAGAAGTAAATCAAATGCCAGACTTACATTAAGTGCACGTTTGCTCCGGGGAATGGGGTTTCTGTTTTGTTTTACATAGAAACTGCGATGATTTTGCACTGTTTTGGTAACTACTGAGTAACTACTAAGTCACTACTGTGATCCAGTGAATTCAAAGGCAGAGGAACACAGGAAGAGTGCAGGTCTGAGCTGCTTAACAGGCTCAGAGATATGTGTCTGTGTTTGACCCTCAGTGGGAGGAAGGGGCATAGGCTACTGGTAGATGCCCAGTTTTACCATATTATGCTGTTGCACTGGATACTATTAAGAAGACAGGCACATTTCTGGGTGCCAGGGAAGAGGCAGTGGTTCCAGATGAGTCAGACTGCTGTTGTCACCTCCTCCCTGCTGGAAAGACAAGACTCAGCAGCTCCTTGGAGATGTTCAGAACTTGGGGTGAAGGCATAAAGAGGTGAGGTTTTTCAAAGATGAACCATTTGCCAATCGCCTTTAAGTAGATTTGATTTGTCATATTTTGGCAGAATCTCTTTAGATCTCCATTGTGATGCAGCAGGTTTTTCCCAAACTTGCATGGAGAAGTGAAGTGGCTAGGTACGGGGAAAGGGGAGAGCAGACGCTGTCACAGCTTCCAACCAACGGCCTTTTCCAGACCTTTCTCTCTCTTATTTCGCACCTATTGCAATCTCATCCTGAGGTGCTATAAAGATATGTATCCCTGGGGTGGTATTTAAAGTACGAAATTTAAGTATAACATGCCCCACAGTCACCTCCATTAAATTGAATGGGAATACAGGCTTCATGGAAATCCACTATGGCACTTTTCTTGCGTATTTCTGGGTTGTTTAGTAATAATATATCTTTCTTAACCCAGCCCTGTGTATGTATATGTATGCATTATTGTGCTCGTATACACACACTCTTTTTCTCCAGGATGTATTATTACTGTGTGTGTGTATACATACACATACACAGACTTATATACAACACTGAATATTCTGAATTAGTAAGATTTGTTCATTTTTTTTTATCAGACTTTACTGATAGGTCTGAATGATTTGGCTCAGCCTAAGAGGCAATATGGCAAAATATACAGTGCAGGCAGATTTTTAAAATGTCCTTCTTTTTAAAATGTAATAATCATTTATGGCCTTAGGTAGTTGATATAAACTCTCCTTAGTTGAGGGTCCTAATTAGAAAAAAAAAACAGGCTAAACAACATTACCTTGCTGTTTATATATACATGTTTATATATGTATATATATATTTCTTTTTAATTAAAGTGTCAAGCTCAGTGCCTTACACACTATGAGTATCCAATAAATGACATCTCCATTTTTCTTTCCATATAAGTTAAAGGCCTTCTTGTAAGAATTGGTGCCCAAAAGAAATCAATGTATGAATATTTCAAAAACTGAAATGCTTTAAAGAATGCATGTCTTCCACTCTTAATTTCCTTAGATAGCTAGTCTTCTTCGCAGTTAAAAATGTCATTAGTATACTATGTAGATTCTGCCTTTGATTTGTGGTGATTAGATAGGCCTGGTGAATCATTAGCTAACTCATAAGACTGTTGAATACTTGGAGACAGTGAGACACAAGCATATCTCTAGATCTCATTTGGTCCAAGGTACATGTCTCTGCCCCTAAAATTATGCCATTCTTTCTGAATTCTCTCAAACAATCCTAAAATAGGTAATCCATCTCTGATGCTGTATATTGGTCTATTTTCATTCCCTATGGGTCTGAGTCCAACTGTCTAGCAAATGCACTTAAAAATAATAATACTTTCCTCAATACTATCTTCAGGGCTTCCTGCCAGTTAGATGCTTTCAATGTCTTTTTTTCTTTCTTTCTTTCTTGCTTCTCCCAGCGGTTGGAGCTGTCTCACGATGCTGCCAACTTCCACAGCCTTCTGGAGAAACCAACTCAGCTACAGGTTGGAACGGGGGTAGGGAATGAGAGTGTGCAGCTTTATTCCATCTGAGACAGGGGCCATATGTGCTCACATCCACGCCTATGTATTTTTTCCTCACTAGTAGTTGTTAAGTTGTTAATTCTGTTCTTGATAGGTTTTAAAAGAAAGGGGGGAAAATGCTCAGGCTAAGAGATCCAAGAGGAGGAAGCGGGAGTGGTTGCTATGAGCTTTGAAACATGCACACGAGCGTGCGCGCACACACAAAAATAAATGGACAAAAGGATAAATTGAAAAAGAATGTGACAACCCTTGCTTGGTTTAGCAGTCTGGTCAGCCCCACAGATGAGGAAGTGCTGCTTTGTCCCAAGCTAAAGCCTTGTTTTCTTGTTCATTGTCTTTCAGGGTAAAATCTGGGGGAAATTCACCTGTCTGATGCAAAGTTAAACTGCTGGCTTTAATGTGACTGCATGGGAACTTGGGTTTATTAATGAATACAACATACCCTCTTTGATTTGAAAGCTTTCACCCTGCTGAAAAGATTCAAAAGGCATCGCTTCCTGCACCAGCGGCATTCCTTTATCCGTCTCAGTGGTTCACCCCTACCCAGCTGCTATATCTCATTAACAAGCATTTGACCACTGCAGCCGGCCTGGGAGTGTTGACACTTGAAAAGCCCAGGCAGGCGTGGGCAGGCCATCAGCTATGGCAACAGGAAACTGCCCCGGAGACAACACTGAGAAAACAGCAGCTGCAAAAGCCAAAGTCAGAACAGACATAAAGGGCTGCCTATATCCACGTTGGTCTGGGGTATCGGTGCCTGTCTGTGGGTCTGAATCCACACATCTATTTACTGTATTCATGGGATAGAAAGGTTGCTATCAGCATGTATCAGAGTCAGGACTTTTTGACAACCCAGAATAATTTTTTTTACGACTTACGATGTTCTTGGATCCTTAGGTTTCTTATTCTCCTAATAACTTAAATTCTTGTTTGTGTACATAAGACTATTCACCAGAGGCCTCAAACTTGATACACACCTTTACTCCAGTGGAAGTCATATGCACAATTTAAAAAATGTATATGCATGAACGCTTATGCATTTTTCAGGCTATCACATTATTTTTTAAGAACAAGTCAACTTGTGAGACTGTCATATAATTATATTAAGACTACTTTAAAAGCCTTTGGTTTAGGAATCAAACTGTGATGGTTTTGTGTAAAATATTTCAGAATGAAAGTATTGTTTCAATTGTGTAACTTTGGCTCACAAAATTAAGTGGGATATCTCATATAATCATTGATTATAATAATTTTAAATACCTATTTTAATATCATTTATTGACTATTCATTTAATTGTAGGCCTTTCAATGCTATAAGTGTTGTTTCTACATTGATCAGAAGAGCTTAAAGTATAGACTGTCTCATGTAATGTTTTGAGCAAGTAGTTTTCCATATCGTGTGTGTCCTTTTGAAGCCTATAAAAGCATTTTTAGTGGCTAGGTAAGCAATAGTTCAAAATCAATGTTTTCCATCTATAAAGAAAATAACCCTTTTTAAAACAAGAAAAAGAGATCACTCTATAATAGCAGAAAAAAGCTAAATGAAAAAAGACACTAATGCAGTGTGTTACAAGTGAAGTTAGTGGTCTGCCATTCAAAGAGTGGTGAATTATTTTCCTGTCATTGTCAGTACAATAGACAATCAGTGATGATCACATTGAAGTATACCATTACTTTATTCATTTGAGTAATTCAGGTTTATGTACGTTTGCCTATCACTCATCATAAAAGCTCTTTTAATTTCACATTGTTACTCTAAGGTAGTTAATTAGATTTTTTAAAAGATGTGAATGTATTTTAAATTATCACAGCTTGTTTTTTCGAGATGTTGGAATATGCTTCTTGGGTGCAGTAAATTTTTCAGTTCTACCTTCATCCACCTTTTACACTCCAGGGGAAGAGAAGACTGTACCAGCCGCATCTTCCTGAAAGCCATTAAGATATTTACATTTGATGTCATAGGGGTTCACGTTCATTTCTGATAGGCAGGATGATGCCCAGGCACTGGAAACAGCTTGGGAGCAACTCTCAGTTCTGCTGCCCACCAGCAAAGTGAACCTTGAGTGAGGGACTTCAAGTTTCTGTGCCTCAGACTCCCAGTCTATTAAATAGTGGTAAGATGAATAGTACTTAATTCATAGGCTGGTATAAGGATTAGATGGATGTACACACACATCACACATACACTTCAGAGTGCCTTTCTCCTAAGCAGTCTATAACTGCTGCTATTAATACCAACCTCTTTTCTCACCATATCACACTTTATCCCTTTATAGTGATTTATATTTCCATAGAACTTATTTTATATTGTTATATGTGAGTGTTGACTTATTTATTTTATAATAAAACCCTTTCTTGTCTTCCCCTAAGACACACACACACACACACACACAGCTATACAACTATAGGCTTTATGAAATTATGGACTTGCTGAGTGATTGCATTTGTGTAGAGCTAGCCTCAGAGACAAAAAAGAACCAAGGATAAATTTTAATGAAGCAATGCCATAATAGGAAAGTGCCTGATGTACACAGTTTCAGGAACAGGGTGATTGCTATTTTAATACATATCTTTCTTCATCTATATTGTAAAGGTGATGCTCATACCCTGGAAAATCTTGCCTTGATGCTATTTCTACTGGACTGATGATTCACAGTTTCTGTCCTATATATCTATTATTATAATCTTATTCAAAGATTGAGTCATTTATGTTAGGGCTCATATATAAAACTATAAGATCTATCTTTTAAAACTAATTTTTAATTAACAAAAATTATATTATGTAGGACATAATGTTTTGAAATATGTATGCATTTGTGGAATGGATAAATCATGCTAATGAACATATCTATGACTTATTTTTGTGTGGGAAGAACACGTAAAATCTGTCTTAGTGATTTCAAGTATACAATACACTATTAATAACTATAATCACCATGTTGTACAATAGATCTCTTGAATTTGTTATTCCTACCTAAATAAAATTTCTATCCTTTGACCATCATTTTACCCAACCACTCTCATACTCCCAGGGTTTGGTAACCCCCACTGTATTCTCTACTTCTGCTTTTAGATTTCACATGCAAGTGAGACCATATAGCTTTTGACATTCTGTGCCTGCCTTATTTCATTTTCTTCATTGTATGGTCTTGGCACCCTTGTCAAAAATCAATTGACCATAAATGCATGAATTTATTTCTGAGGTCTCTAAATTGTTCCATTGGTCTGTTTTTATTTTTTTTCTAATACCATGGTGTTTTAATCACAATAGGTTTGTGGTATATTTTGAAGTCAGATAATGTAATGCTTCCAGTTTTGTTTCTGTTTTGCTCAAGATTGCTTTGATTATTCAGAGTCTTTTGGTTATATGCTAATTTTAAGATTGTTGTTTCTATTTTTGTAAAAAAAAGTGATTGAAATTTTGATAGGATTGCATTGAGTCTGTAGATTGGTTTGAGTAGTATGGATATTTTAACAATATTAATTTTTCCTATCCATGAACATGGGATGTCTTTTCGTTATTTTGTGTCTTCTTCTATTTCTCTTATCAATTTCTTACAGTTTTAAGTGCACGGGTCCTTAAATTAGCTGGGTGTGGTGGCATGCACCTGTAGTCTCAGCTACTCTGGAGGCTGAGGCAGGAGATTCACTTGAACCTGGAAGGCAGAGGTTGCAGTGAGCTGAGATTGCACCACTGCATTCCAGCCTGGGTAACAAAGAGAGTCTCCATCTCAAAAAAACAAACAAACCAAAAAACTGGAGAAAAGGAAGGCAGGATGACTGACCACCTGGGAGTGACATAGACCCAGGAAAACCTCTCCCACCCAGTGAAATGATGAGTGAGTGAGCAACCCCAGGAATACACACTTCTCCCATAGATCTTTACAACCCTTGGGTCCGGAGATCCCTTTGTGAACTCACTCTACCAAGGCCTTCGGCCTGACACACAGAACTATGTGGAGTTTGCTAGAACAGTGGGTCAGGCACAATCAGAGCCCCCATAGACTTAGATGCCCAGGCTTCCCAGAAAAAGCAGCTGCAACTCCACCAAAGTGGGGGGTTAGGCCCCTGTACATACCCCTAGGATATGGAGTAAATCCAGGGGGGTGAGCAGGGATGGGATGTGGGTTCTACTTGTACTTCAACTTACAGGATAAGACCCACTGGCTTGGAACTTGAGCCAGCCACTGGTAGCAGTGTTACACCTCCCTGAGGTAGAGTTCCCCAGTGTAAGAGGCAGACCACCATCTTTGCTGTTTCACAGCCTTACCCATTGTTGCCTTAGGGGTCTAGGGAATCTGAGACAACTAGGACTAGAACAGTCCCCAGCGTAGCCAGAGTTTTCAGGAGAAGTTGTCAGATTGCTTATTCATGCACATGTTGATTCCTGTTCTTCTTCACTGGGCAGAATCTTCAAACAAGGGTCTCCAATCATGCCCCCTGGTATTTTCCAGTTGACAGTGGTTTCAAACCTCTCTGAGATGGAGCTCCCAGGGGGAGAGGAGGTTCACTATCTTTGCCGTTTGGCCACTTTAGCTGTTCATGCCTTTAACTTTGGAGAGTCCAAGGTGACTAGGAGCTGAAGCAGATCCCCAACACAGCACAGCTGCTCTGTGAAAATATGGCCAGACTTCTTTTTAAAGCAGGTCCCTGATCACCTTCCTCCTCACTGGGTGGGACCTTCCAAACAGGGTTTCCAGCTACCCCTGCTGGTGTTTTTTTGGCAAGCAGCAGTTCCAAACCTTCCTGGGATGGACCTCCCAGAGGTAGGGTGGCCTTCCATCCTTGCTGTTTGGCTGCCTTATCCATTCTTGCCTTTGAACTTTGTAGAGTCTGAGATGACTATGGGCTGGAGCAGACCCCCAACACAGCACAGCTGCTCTTTATCTCTCCATTTCTGAAGGACAGCTTTTTTGACTACAGTAATTATTGCTTTCCAGTTATTTTCCCTTTAGCGTTTTGAATATAACATCCCACTCTCTTCTAGCCTTTGAAGTTTTTTTCTGAGAAATCCATTGCTAATCTTACTGAAACTCCCTGATGTGTGTTTGCTTGTTTTCTCTTACTGACTTCAGGATCCTATTTTTGTCTGATTTTTAACAGTTTTCTTTTTTCTTTTAATGTCTTGGTGTAGTTTTGTTTGGATTGAGTCTGACTGAAGAATTTTGACCTTTCTGTACAAAATCTTTTGACAAATTTGGAAAGTTTTCTTTTATTATTTCTTTATTTTTATTTTTTATTTTCTTATGCTTTAGGTTCTGGGGTACATGTGCAGATCATGCAGGATTGTTGCATAGGTACATATGTGGCAATGTGATTTGCTGCCTCCACTCCATCCCGTCACCTACATCTGGCATTTCTTCCTATGTTATCCCTCCCCTACCACCCACCCCCCTGCTGTCCCTCTCTTGTTGCCCCCAAACAGACCCAGTGTGTGATGCTCCCCTCCCTGTGTCTATGTGTTCTTATTGTTCAACACCTGCCTATGAGTGAGAACATGTGGTATTTGATTTTCTGTTCTTATATCAGTTTGCTGAGAATGATGGTTTCCAGATTCATCCATGTCCCTACAAAGACACAAAATCATCATATTTTATGGTATTCCATGGTGAATATGTGCCACATTTTCCTTGTCCAGTCTATCATCAGTGGGAACTTGGGTTTGTTCCAGGTCTTTGCTATTGCAAACAATGCCGCTATGAACATACATGTTCATGTGTCTTTATAATAGAATGATTTATAATCCTTTGGTTATATACCCAGTAATGGGATTGCTGGGTCAAATGGAATTTCTATTTCTAGGTCCTTGAGGAAGTGCCACACTGTCTTCCACAATGGTTGAACTAGTTTATACTCCCACCAACTGTGTAAAAGTGTTCCTATTTCTCCACATCCTCTCCAGCATCTGTTATCTCCAGATTTTTTAATGATCACCATTCTAACTGGCGTGAGATAATATCTCAATGTGGTTTTGATTTGCATTTCTCTAATAATCAGTGATGATGACCATTTTTTCATGTTTGTTTGCCTCATATATGTCTTCTTTTGAAAAGTGTCTGTTCATATCCTTTTCCCACATTTGGATGGGTTTGTTTGTTTTTTTTTTTCTTGTAAATCTCTTTTAGTTCTTTGTAGATTCTGGATATTAGCCCTTTGTCAGATGGGTAAATTGCAAAATTTTTTTCCCATTCTGTTGGTTGTCAGTTCACTCTAATGATTGTTTCTTTTGCTGTACAGAAGCTCTGGAGTTTAATTAGGTCCCATTTGTCTCTTTTGGCTTTTGTTGCCAATACTTTTGGTGTTTTAGTTTTGAAGTCCTTGCCTATGCCTATGTCCTGAAAATGATTTTGCCTAGGTTTTCTTCAAGGGTTTTTATGGTGTTAGGTCTTATGTTTAAGTCTTTAATCCATCTGGAGTTAATTTTAGTGTAAGGTGTCAGGAAGGGGTCCAGTTTCTGCTTTCTGCACACTGCTAGGCAGCTTTCCCTACACCATTTATTGAACAGGGAATCCTTTCCCCATTGCTTGTTTTTGTCAGGTTTGTCAAGGATCAGATGGTTGTAGATATGTTGTGTTGCCTCCAAGGCCTCTGTTCTGTTCCATTGGTCTATATATCTGTTTTGGTACCTGTATCATGCTGTTTTGATTACTGTAGCCTTGTAGTATAGTTTGAAATCAGGTAGCGTGATGTCTCCGGCTTTGTTCTTTTTGCTTAGGATTTACTTGGCTATGTGAGCTCTCTTTTGGTTCCATATGAAGTTTAAGGTGTTTTTTTTTTTCCCAGTTCTGTGAGGAAGGTTATTGGTAGCTTGATGGGGATAGCATTGAATCTATAGATACTTTGGGCAGTGTGGCCATTTTTATGATATTGATTCTTCCTAACCATGAGCATGGAATATTTCTCCATCTGTTTGTGTCCTCTCTTATTTTCTTGAGCAGTCATTTGTAGTTCTTCTTGAAGAGGTCCTTTACATCCTTTGTTAGTTGTATTCCTGGGTATTTGATTCTCTTTATAGCAATTGTGAATGGGAATTCACTCATGATTTGGCTCTCTGTTAGTCTGTTACTGGTGTATAGAAATGCTTGTGATTTCTGCATATTGATTTTGTATCCTGAGACTTTGCTGAAGTTGCTTATCAGTTTAAGGAGATTGGGGGATGAGATGATAGGGTCTTCTAAATATACAATCATGTCTGCAAATAGAGGCAATTTGACTTCCTCTTTTCCTAACTGAATACCCTTTATTTTTTCCTTGCCTAATTGCTCTGGCTAGAACTTCCAATACTTTACTGAATAGGAGGGTGAGAGATGGCATCCTTGTCTAGTGCCGTATTTCAAAGGGAATGCTTCCAGTTTTTGCCTTTTCAATATGATATTGGCTGTAGGTTTGTTGTAAATAGCTTTTATTATTTTGAGATATGTTCCTTTGATACCTAGTTTATTGAGAGTTTTTAGCATAAAGCATTGTTGAATTTTGTTGAAGGCCTTTTCTGCATCTATTGAGATAATCATGTGGTTTTTGTCTTTGGCTCAGTTCTGTATATGTGGTGGATTACGTTTATAGACTTGCATATGTTGAACCATCCTTGTGTCTCTGGAATGAAGCCTACTTGATCATGATGGATAAGCTTTTTGATGTGCTGTTGCAATTGGTTTGCCAGTATTTTATTGAAGATTTTTGCATCTATGTTCATCATGGATATTGGCCTGAAGTTTTCTTTTTTTGTTGTTGTTGAGTCTCTGACAGTTTTTGGTATCAGAATGATGTTGGTCTCATAAAATGATTTGGGAAGAATTCCCTCTTTTTGTATTGTTTGGAATAGTTTCAGAAGGAATGCCACCAGCCCCTCTTTGTACATCTGGTAGAATTCAGCTGTGATCCCATCTGGACCTAGACTTTTTTTGATTGGTAGGGGATTAGTTGCTGCCTCAACTTCAGCCTTGTTATTTGTCTGTTCAAGGTTTCAACTTCTTCCTGGTTTAGGCTTGGGAGGGTACAAGTGTC